GCTCTGGCCCCATGGCGCGGAGGTGGGGGGGAGGAGGTGGCCGCGCGCCCAGGAGACCCGCAGGGACGGGGAACGCGCGCGGCTGCTTCTACCCCCGCAGCAGTTCCGGTCAGGAGCGCGCCGCCGCCGCCATTTTCCGAGGTTTGAAATGGTGGCCACGAAGGGTCCAACCAATCAGAGGACAGCAGGTCGTTGCTAGGATGCGTGGAGTCCCGCCCTCTACCCTCCCAGGCCCTCTGGCGCCTGACCGAAGCTGAAAAAGTGAGGTGGTGCGCTGGGCAGTCCTGCAGATTAGTGGATGGCCTTGGTTTAATAATGACTCCGTTCCTAAATCCCCAAAGCCCAATACCTACTGCACTGTTTATTAGGACTTTCATCACAGTCCAAGACAAATTGCAAGCGTTTTAATTCCTTTTCAGCATTTGGGGAGAAGAGAGGTAGAAAGTAATGAACGAATATGAGGTGGTGGTGGTGATCGCATACACACCAAATTATTAAAGTAAGAGAAATCCCAGTTATCAAAGGAAAGGGAAATGTGTTCTCAGGGCTGCCTAGGAAACCAGTAAAACCTAATTTTGAGCCCTCCTGCTTCCCAATGGGGAGGAGTGAAAGTGCCTTCATCCTCTAATTATAAGAAGGCAGCAAAAGGCACAACGTCAAATAATGGACTTCTCAAATAATGAAGTTGTTAAATAGCACGTTCTTTGAATTTAAATATTGCTTTTTTTTGTATCAAAGTCTTTCAAAAATAACTTTTCCTTTGACACTTAGGAATCTATCCTAAGAAATAAAATTTCATAGGCACTGAAGGGTGGCAGAATATGCCATCCTAAAATATGCTACTGTGGCATTAGGATTATTTTTGCGCTACAGACAGTTGAAGAACACCAGGTGCAGGGAGGGCATTCTGGCCTCCTTTTTTTCCTGAAAGCAGATGAAGTTCTGGTGTGAAAACTGCCCTTTCTATACCAGGAGGAAAGAAACATTCTTATTCCTGGAGATGGGGAGAAGTCAAGGGAGAGAGAATAATGTACATACAGACCTTATTAAAATAACATCTTCCTTTGATCTCTTTATATATTTTAGTTACTTTCCCACAATTGCCTCTCTTCACCTACTCTAGTATATAAATAAGCACTAAGATTTTGCCACTCCTGTGGGTCTTCGTTGTCCTATGGAGCTCCCTTGTTTGTGTGAAAATCCCTTTACTTTTCTCCTATTAATCTGTCTTCTGTCATTTTAACTGTCATGCCCAGCTGGACACCCAAACAGGGTAGAACTGAAGTTTTGTTTCTCCTACAACATGAAGATATTAATGGCATGGTTGTTGTTTATGATATCAGAAAGAGTAAATAAAGGCAATCTAAAAACCAATGATAAGGAAATGGTTAATTATGGTTGATTCACTGGAAAGAATATTTTCAGCCAATAAAAATTAACTATGAAGTGTGGAATAAAATAAGATGTTGTAATTTTTAAATAAAAACATGGAATGTATAGGTATATCTAGTATATTCAGAGTTATGAATTATAAGAGATTTAATAGGAAAAAGATGATATCAATGAATTAAAATGTCTCCATGTGGTCAGACTTTAGGTATTAATTTTTTTTACTTATATTTTATAATTTTTTAATTGTGAAGTGTTGAGCTTATATTACATTTATAGCACAAGGTAAAGTATGTTTAGTTTTAAAAAGGGAAAGAAGTTAGGGAGTAAGATGCCCATAGTTGAGAACTACCTCTGTTCTGCCTTATCAGACCCTTATCCCCAAATTAAGAAGGAAATACTGCTTTGTAGCACTAAAAGTAAAACAATACAGAAATGTCCTCTGGGGAGTTGGTAAAAAATTTATTTTAATAACATTTTGGCACTAAAGTTTCAAAATATTATCAGTGGAAGCAATGGGGGCAAGGGTAGAGATTAAAAAGGGAGTATTGAAAATGTGTGTGTGTGTGTGTGTGTGTGCGCGCACGCACGCATATGTGTGTTTCAGGGAAAATATTTCTAAAGGACTAAAATACATATGATGGAGATAATATATGTATATAAACATACATAATTAAGTATACACATTAAAAATTTAAGAGTAACAGCTAGAAGTACTGAAAAATGTCTTACAACTTTGAAACCACAAGAGGAAAAATTGTGGTATAATGAAAATCAATCTGTCAAATAGGAGGAAAATATGGAAACAACAGAAAAGCATAGTTGAAAGCATTAAGAAATAGAAAACTTCTATTAATGGAAAACCCAGCCAAATGTAGGTAATCACAATAAAAGTGATTACATTGCATTTTCCCATTGAAAGACAGAGACTCTCACTATTTTTAAAAGAGACACATCCAAAACAAGTTTAAAAATAAACAAATGGAGTTCTAGCTCCTGTAATATGATGCAATAAGTTATCGGGACCATTTTGATTAAGTAAAACAAAAAATGCTGACTAAAGTGCAAAAGATCATCTTGAGGTTTTGATGAATCAGATAGTAAAGAATTATTGGGCCAAATCTTGAGGAAATGAGAAGATAAGTGGAGGCCAGAAACTCCTTTTATGTTAAAGGTACTTTCCAAACAGGGAAATTTCAGTGTTCATGGACTTAATTGGTGCAAGGGAGAGGAATCAATGCCCAGAGCCCGATCCAAGGTAATTTAAAAGGAGACTTTTCACCATACAGTTCAACCACCAAAATACTTTCAGAATAAGGGTAAACCCACCCACCTCCTCAACACCCATGAGACCACAAGGGGGTTTTCCTTGGTATTGAGCAGGGCTGGGCATTAGGAGGGACTGTCTCTCAGAAGCTATGACCACAAGCTGGCACTAAGACCAGTGGGCAATCCAGAATCACATCACTTGGATGGTCTGAAAATTAAACAAATAAACATCCCTTAAGTGTCTTGTTGAAAATGCCAATGCTCTCTGGAGAACTACACTTTTATCCCAGACTACAGAGACTTACCTCAAATAATTTTTCAAGGAAAATCACTAGCTCACACACAAAAAACCAAGCAGATAAGGAAAGAAACCACTGCTGGTAAGAATCAGAAGACATAATTGACAGAAAAAAACAGACCTGCAAAGATTTTGTCTGAATAATCAGACAGAAATGTTTACAATTACTATGTCAAAAGAAATAAAAGGCAAGATGGAAAATATCTTCAGGAAGTATACAATTACAAAAAAATAAGCATAACGGAGCAGATTTGAAAAAGAACTTAGAAGAATTTGTAGAAATGAAAAAAATACAGTAATTCAAATAGAAAACTCACTGCATGACTTTAAAAGATTAGATAAAGCCAAAGAAACACAGTGAGTGAACAGGATGATAGTTGGAGAAATTAACCAGAATGTAGCATAGACATTCAGATTGGAAATAGAAGATGTGAAGGACTCTACAAGGTACAGCAAAAAGGTCTAACAAAAAGGAGAGGAAAGGGAATATGGGAAGGAAGCAATATTTAAAAAATAGCGACTGAGGACTTTCCAGAACTCAAGAAAGACATGAATCATCAAGCCCAACAGATCATTAAACCCAGCGAATCCAAAGCAGAACAAATAAAAAGCAATACACATAAAGACACATTATGTAAAACCAAAGAAACCAAGGACAAAGACAAAAATTCCAGAGTAGCCAGAGAGAAAAGACCTTAAAAGGAACAAGATTTATACTGACAGCTTCTCATATGCAACAGTAGACTGAGGAATAAATACCAGCATTGAAATCTACCCAGTGAAATACCTTTCAAGAATATGGGTGAAATAAAGATATTTTCAGTCAAAAGCAAAAAAAAAAAAAAAGAAAAGTTTGTGACTGAAAGATGCTCTCAAAGAAAGTCTAAAGGATTTACCTCAGGCCCAAGTAAGAAAAGTAAAATCTGAAATGGGAGAAGGAATACAAAGCAAAGAAAGTGGTAAATATGTGGGTGAATCTAAAACATTGTTTAAACCAACAATACTACCTTGCAAACAAATACACGACAACAATAACAAAAAAAACACACAGAAGAATGATAAATGGAATTTAATTATTCTAAGGTCTAAGAAAAGGGTATTGTGCAAGAAGAGGGTAAAGATTTGATTAAATTTGGATATGTTGTAATATCTTGGATAATTGCTAAAATGGAATTACATAATATGTGGTCATTCTGTCTGGCTTTTTTCACTTAGCATGCTTTCAAAATTCATCCATGGTGTACCACATATCATTATCATTCCTTTTTACTGCCAAATAGTATTCCCTTGTATGGATATACCACTTTTATTTATCTATTCACCAGATGATGGACATTTGAGTTATTTCCACTTTTGCCCTTACAAAAATGCTGCTATGAATGTTTGTTTACAAATTTTGTGTGGACATATGTTCTCATTTCTTTGGGGTAATGAAGCATTTTTATTGTTCCTTTTTCCCTTATTCTATTTGAAAGCTAAACACTCCATTTCTATTTTTAGCAATTATCCAAGATATTACTACATATCTAAATTTAATCAATATCTCTACCCTTTTCTTGCAAAAGATAACCTAGGATATGAAGACAAACAGCACAGAAGTAAACACTATATCTAAACCCAACTATATGAGATATTGCATTGAATGTAATGGACTAAATTCTTCAAGTTAAAGACAAAAATAGAAAAAAATCATAATGTGTTTACAAAGGACACATAAAAAATGTGAGAACAATGAAAAATGTAAAGAATGTAAGAATATAAAAAGTAGAAAAAGATATTCAAACATTAACCAAGAAAACAACATTAAAGAGTAATTCTTTATTAATATTCAATAATATTAATTGTAGTTCAATACTATTAATATTCAATAATACAAACTTTAAGGCAAAAATCCAGTTAAGATAGTTATTTAAAAATGGTACAAAAAGTTTCAATTCTTCAGGAACTATAACAATTTAAAATTCACATGCTTTTAATAACATTCTGCAAAAATTGTCAGATAAAGAAATAATAGACAAATCAACAATCATAATTGGAAATTTTAATACATCTTTAAAAATAATCGGTACTCAAAATTCAAACTACACAATAAATGAGTTTGATGTAATGGAGATGCATATATCTCCATTGCATCCAACAATTCCAGAATACACATTCTTTTCAAGCATTCACAGAACATTTTAAAAAATTGACCATATAGCAGAATATAAAGGATGTCTTAAGTATATAAAGAGAGAAATTATTTAGAGTATGTTCTCTGAACTTAATGAACCAAAAAAATGTATGATATAATTAAAAATAAAATAAATAATAAAAACCTAGACTATCCCCATATACTTGGAAGTGGTGGTGGTCCAGGTGAAAGGGTGAAAGGTAGAGGTAAAAAGGCCACTTTTTTGTTTTGCTTTATGTATTAGGGATTGTTTGAATCTTATTTACGGAAAAGATATTCAACAGTACTTAAGCAATAAAAAGAGCTCCTTGCTGGCACAGCAGATTCTGCTCAGACACTTTCCTTTCCCCATAAGGTGAATTTTTTAAAAATGCATTTGTTATTTTCAATCCAGGGATAAGCTGGAAGGAATTCATCTGCAGTCGTGCACAAACTTAGTTCAGGGTGTGTTCAAGCCCACCTCCACTACTCTGAGACTGAACTGACAAAACGGCGAAGAGTCTGTACTGCTTTAAGTGGAGCAGGTGTCTCAGTCCGCAGGTGGGGTCATTTCCTGCCCTGTGATAAAGCTGACCTGGGTGCACTTCTCCGTCACTCCTGCGGGCAGTGGAGCAGCTTCCCGAGGGCATGGTAAGTGGCTACTGTACTCCTCGGGTACCGGCAGTGTTGCTTTGCTGTTGTAGCAGGTTTGACTCCGTATTTGGCCCTCTTCCCACCAAACAATTCTTTACTTAATTCTTAATACGTGAGAAGACATTTGGTTCTTGCAATATCCATGTTGGGTGCAGATCTGGACAGGCTCTCCTCTATTCATCTTCACTTTTGCTGCTTTTGGAAAAGTTGTTGATTTGAAGTTGTTCACTTAATTGAAGGCTGAAGCGAGCACCTCTGCTTCCTTCAGTTTCTGTGCTTGTTTGAGACCTGGTGTGCTGATATTCCTATAGGAATCAATCGTTTCACTTTTAACATGCTTTTAGAGTTTCTGGGGACTTCAGACCCAGGTTTCCATTGCTAAGCTCATAAATGCCTGGCAGGGTAAAGTGCAACATCTTCTCTGTCCTCTCTGGAGTTCTTTGGGGACAATGATGATGATAGTTACTTACAGCTTACAGTGATTCTGTTCGGGGGCACCTTTTAAGATCCACTGTCCCTTTAATCACTTATGTGTCAGTCATACAAATGTTTAACATCTTAGAATTTTTAATTCTTAAATGGAAACCTTTCAAACTGCTTTTTCATCTTTGATCTTCTCACCTCATTGGACCCTCTCTTTGACATTGTAAAGATGTTTAAATTGTTTTGCTCTTAAAATTATGCCTTCCCACATGAGGGATGGAAATATCCTGTCTTAAGTGTATCAATGTCAGTATTATGGGTGTGATATTGTACTATAGTCTTGCAAGATATTTCCATTGAGGGAAATGGCTAAGGGGCCCATGAGATCTTTCTGTATTATTTCTTACAACTGTGTATGAATCTGCAGTTCCTGTATATCTCAAAAAAAGAGTTAACTAGAAGATTATGCCTTTCTAGTAATTCAAAGAAGCTTGTTGTAGCATATATTAATGTGCTGTGACTTACCAATGTTGATATTCAGTGGGCATTTTATAGTCTTAGAGTGTGACTAATATTTTAACACATAGTTTGGAAAGGAGGGAAGAATAAGGTGAAGACGCCTTCGTTACCTTGGAACAGAGTGATGTTGTAAGCTCAGTTGCTTCTCAAACCAGGAAGGGCAAAGTTGATTCTTCCTGGGCCAAGTATTCCTGCCAAATTAAAAAGGACAGTATCACTCCTCTGTCTGAACTATGTGGGTAGCAGATCACATGCAAAGCAGCAGTTGTTTTTTTATGTTGGTATTATGAGCACATGGCATGTGTGCACCACACACAACTGGGTAGTAAACAGCTGAGGAAGACTGCTGTGAGAGAAATCTACATGTACATGGTTTCAATGATGTAGAGACACAAAATGCCCCCTAACCTTTAAATTTTTACCTACATCTAGGGATTTAGTTGAGTCTGACCTGTTTACAGTAGCTTACAATGTACTGGGATCATTTTAAGTCTCACAGGTGAAAGGAATGAAACTGTTCTTTGCAGATAGGGGTGGTAGAAACCTGTTTATGATGGAATGTGTTGTTTTGATTTTTATGTGCCAGATAAAGGTGGGAGTATTGATTGGTACTAAGTGCATTGCAATTTGAGTTCACAACCACTGTCATAAGACTGATAATTGTAGAAAAGTAACACAAGAGGGAGCTCTGCTCAAGCAGTGAACTTGAATTCTTCAAAGAGGAAAGAGAGCTGTGTTGTACCTTGAGAATCAAGGAGACAAGTACAAGGTTTGATGGGGCTGAGCAGGAACAGAGTCCAAGTCAGATTGCAGGGGTGTGACCAGCCAGAGCTCCCTCCCACCTGTGACTGGTAGGCTTTTTGTAGCTGAAGCTCAGACCTTGGGAAAAGAGGGTAGGGTTACCTAGCACATCAACAGGCAAACCTCCTGAAGGGCCCTGATGATGCAGAAAATGGCCTTCTCACTCTCTAAGACCACCTGTGTAGACTTGTTCCATGACCCTGGCAATCAAAGCTCAATGATATTAAAGTCAGTGATTGTAATCCCTTTAGATTTTCAGGATTTAACTTTTCCTTTCCCTCTCTTAGATGTCTACTAAAACTGTGTCTGTTTAAATTACAAAAAGAGTTGTTTGCTATTAAAAAAAATGTGGATAGTGATTTAAAAGTGGGATAGGAGATGTGGGGGCTCATATGGGTGAAGGAAAACAGTGAAATTTAAACCAAAAAGACCACTTACTACCCAGATATAACTAGAGTTAATACTTTGCATTTTTTTCATTAAGGTATCATTGATACACAATCTTATGAAGGTTTCACATGAGCAACATTGTGGTTACTACATTCACCCATATTATCAAGTCCCCCCCGCCGATACTTAGCATTTTTCAAGACTGTTTTCTATGCTTAGTTTTAAATATATTTGACATACTTTATATACAATCAACATATAGCTTATGTACTCTGTACTTAATATGTTATGAACATTTCCCACTTCATACCTTTTTGGGGGTAAATATTTAAGATAATATTAATTAAGGTAATATTAAGGGTAATAATGCATAACATACTACTGTATTGATGATCTTCCTTTAAATGCCCAGCAGTAGGTGAATGATTAAGTTGATGTTTTCACTCTTATAGTTAATAATACTGTGAATGCCATTGTACCTAATCTTTGTGTTTTAGATTATTTCTTTCTTTTGTAATTCATTTGTTTATGTCGTTTGCCTGTTTATCTAGTAGATGTTGCAAGTGTTTCTTTTGTAACTGATGAATATAAAACTGGTTTATATATAACCCTTATATATGAAGGGCTGTATATAAATCAATTTTTGTATGCATCGGTATTTATTATGGTATAGAATTTTTACATTTGGAGTTGTCAAATCTATTGCATGTTTCCTTGGTGAACTTTTCACTACTTTTAAAAATCTTTTTTTTTAAATTTTGACATCATTAATATACAATCACATGAGCAACATTGTGGTTACTAGATTCCCCCCCCAATTAATTTTTCACTACTTTTAAGCTTAGGCCATCCTTCCTTATCTAGAGCATATATGAACAGTAAATGTAAAAATCTTAAGATATGAAAAGGTAACATCTTTAATTTATCTGTAGTGGGTTTTAAACTGTGTCAAGGTTATACCTTTCCAATAACTAGCTAATTTTTTGGGGGGGTAAGACAGCTTGATTTTATACATATATGGTATATAATATATATATAGTCTTAACTTGTTCTTAGCCCATTACACAATAGGTGCTTAGTTTATGTTGTTGAAACTTTTAATGGAATTGTTATCCTTAATTCAACTGTTCCTGTACCCTGGCTTTTGGCTTCCATGAGACACTTTTAATTAGCCTTATAATATATCTCTCTTGTTGGCTTAGATTAGCTTGGTGTCTGAATGCTGAGTGATGAAGCTCATGTTATCTGAGAAGGCCTACTCAATGCTAACTTACTATGGCTTATTTCAGAGGGAGTGCCTTTCCATTCATATTGGCCAAGCTGGCATCCAGATTGGGGATGCTTGCTGGGAACTCTATTGTCTGGAACATGGAATTCAGCCGGATGGCATTGTTCTCAACAGTAAAAAGGATCAGTTGGAAAGTGCTAGAATGGATAATATGGATGCATCTTTTGATACCTTCTTTTGTGAGACAAGAGCTGGGAAGCATGTGCCCAGAGCACTCTTCATGGACCTGGAGCCAACTGTTATAGGTAATATAAGTTTACGTTCCAGTGCACTTTTCAGGCCCACAATCAAAACAAACACACCAAGTATCCAATGGTGGGATTATCAGATTATACAAATCTATCTAAATGGCGTCATGTGGACCTTTTCCAAATTTAGAGGATCACTCGATGGCACTTATGCTGAGCAGCATGGCAAACACACCCAGAGGGAAGACTGGTGGAGCCTTTTTGTGTGGCGAAGCAAATTAATTCTTCATTTCTCCACAAACATCTATCAAAACAAAACTTTAAATTTTCTCCTGGATTTGAAAGCCAATTGCTAGAAGCTTCTGACAAAGAACCTGAAATTTGACATTAGCTTCTTGTAAAGGGTAGAATATTTGAAAATGATCCCACAGAAGCAAGGAGCCAAATAAATCTAATTGTGGGCAAAGTCAATACAATTCTATGATGATTAATGGCTGCCTTTGTAGTATCTTTTGCAAAAAACACTTGAAGTGGAGGTGGAGCAATCCTGGGTTGAGAAGTGGCCCCAGTGTGGAGAGGAGGGTGGATTTGGATTTGGGATTATGTATTAATTAGTTATTGCTGTGTAATAAACTAGCTCTAAGCTGAGTGATTTAAAACAATAATGATCATTATTTTGTCCATGAATCTGCAGTTTGAACAGGGCTCAGAGGGGACAGCTTCTCTATGCTCCATGTAGTATCAGCTAGGAAGGCTCAAGTGGGACCTGGAGGATCTGCTTTGAAAAAGGCTCATCTCCTTGGTGGCCGGCTGTTTCAGGCTGTTGGCTGAGAGCCAGGCCAGGGCTGTGGAGGACATGGGCCTCTCTCTGGGCTTCTTAGGCTTCCTCACAGCATGGTGAGAGCAAGCATCCCATGAGAACAAGGCAGAGGTTCATTGTACTGTAATAACCTAGCATTGGGAGTCACATGATGTCACTTCAGATACTTTCACCTGGTCAAGGTGGTTACAAAGATCTACTCTGGAAGGGGTATAAGCCTCACCTCTTAATGTGGAAATAGGTTCTAGAAGCACATGTGAGATGAAAAATCTTGTTGTGGCCTTCTTTGGAAAATGCAATCTGTACATACTGGACTGATTGGAGTCCATTTCCCTATCAAAACGAAGTCAATCCATCAGAACAGTGGATTGATGTCAATGTGAAGGAAAAGATAGGAGGTTTTATTGAAAGGTGGAAGTTACAAATTGTCAAGGCCAAGATGCTTAAATAAAGATTTAGTGTTTACTCTGGTAGATGCTGTGAAAGAATTAAAAATAAGGAGGTGTTGATAACTTCAAGAACAGAGGAGACTAGTACAGAGGTGAGGAAGAGCAATTGTGGTTATGTTCTGATTTGAGTTATAAGTGTCATCAGAGAATATCTGAGTTTTTGTTTCAGACACATGGGAGTTAGCTGGAGTCTGCTGTCACAGGTGGAATATGTCCCCAGAGGATTTCAGTAAATGTAGCTGAAGGAGCCATGTGAGAGGCCACATCCCAGTATTAGGATTATTGTAGCAGACATTTTAATTTGTGCCAATGCACAGATACTAGGCCTATAGGAGGCTTAAGGCCCAAGATCAGAAGCTAAGCAAGTAAGAGAAGAGAAAGGGGCAGGCCAAGACCCAGAAGAAATTCCCTAATCCTTTAGAATATAGCCTGGTAGGAGGGTAATTTTGAGGGTCCTGAGCTGTCCAAACAAAAAGGCCTAAGGTCCAGGGTTTAGGGAGGAGGCCCTGGTTTTCCTCATTATGTCCAGCACACGTGCCAGGCACTGTTCTTGACATTGGAGGCCTGTATAGTCTCGGTGTTCATAGAACCCACAGAGTCAGGTGCAGACCTATAAAAGCCAAATAGGGTGCTTGAAAGCTGACTGGATAGTCATCAGATGTCTACTCCTGAGGGAACAGCATTTGCAAATTCACAGAGGTGTAGAGGAACATGCAGCCTAATAGTTCAGTGTGGCTGGAATGGAGGGTGTGTGCAGGAGGGCAATGAGAAAGGAGTCTGGGCCATGGGCCTGGTAGCAGGAGTCAGGAATTTGGACAGAGAAAGGACCTTGCAGGGCACAGCTGTAAGGGATGGAGATTCAAGTGGAGAGGAGCTAAATGGTATTGGAGGTGAGGCAGCCAAAAAGCCATACAATAATTGTGTTTAAAAACCATCAAAGCCCCTGCAGATGCTGGTTGAGGATGCTGGGCCAGGCACTGAAGTCTCCAGACAAAATGCTAAATGGCAGGAAGTTAGAGTGGCAGTTTGGTGTGCATATGAAGCAGGCTTCTTTCGGAGTATACGGTTGGGTTTAGGAATTCATGGTCATATGCAGGAGCGCACGGTGAATTGAGAAAACTGTCTTGCTCTTAAAATATTAGAGCATTTGCTCTTAAGCAGTGAGCTTCTCCTACTAACTATAGATATCTGGTGCCAAGGCCTGGGAAGCAGATTTGCATAAATACATGCCATGAGGCCAGTGTTATTATTGCTTTGTGTAGCTGTTGTTATGTGGGCCTTGTACCATGCCCTGTGAACTTGTTTAATCCTCATAACTCAGTAGGGCAGGTCTTGTTAATATCCTGCTCAGTGAGATGAAATAATTGAGGCATAGATTTGCTAAGTAACTGCTCTGTAGTCAAATGAGGAAGGCAAGATGTGAACCCAAGAAACTAATTCATGAACTCACGCTGTAGCCTACTTAGCCCTCTAACACTGCTGTGTGACTCCTGAGGAATTGTGCTGTCGGGGCATTCTAAGGTGGGGGATTGGGACCCAGGCCTCAGACACACTGTGTTCTGCTGTCTTCTCATGCTACCCAGGGTTTGAAGGCAGTGAAACTAAGCATGAGTTGCACTGGTTACATTCAATACTGCCAACATCTTAACACCAATTTCTCTGCATCACACATTTATGTGAACTGCATTTGAGTCTCGTGGGTGTTTGAGTTGCCATATGGGCCTTCTTTGTTAAAGCCTCTTTTAAAGTATATGGATACTACAGATTGTCATGCCTTTCCAGTGTTGGTTGGCTGTTTGTAGATAGAAATAGTTGTCTTAGAATGCCAAGGTACCATCAGGTGTGTAGTGGGTTAAATAGTGTCTCCCAAAAATCTGTGTCCACGTAGCACCCCAGAATATGACTTTATTTGGAAATAAGGTCTTTGTAGATGTACTTAGCTAAGATGGGGTCATACTGGATTGGGGTAGTCCTAAATCCAGTGACCTGTGTCCTTATGAGAAGAAGACAGGAAAGAGGGGGTACCTGTGCAGGCAGAGACTGGGCATGTGGCTGTAAGTCAAGGAACCCAAAGCATTATCAGAGTCACCAGGTTCTGGGCAGAGGATGGAATAGTCTCTCCATCAGAACCTCCAGAAGGAACCAGCCCGGCCCACACCTTGATTTTGGACTTCTGGCCTCCTGAACTGTGGAAGAAAAAATGTCTCTCGTTTGAGGCCACTGAGTGGGTTGTAATTTGTTATGGCAGCTCTAAGAGAGTAACAAAGGGGCATGATGAGAAAACATACTGTCAGTTTATAGGGAAATGCTGGTTCCTTTCACTAGCCTGAGGAAGGCTGGGTCAGTAGTTTAAATTCATCCCTTTCCCACCATGTGGAGGGTAGACCGGGGGTCAGGGTACAGGGCTGTGCATGGATCAACAGGGGGCTGGCAGCTGAAGGGTGTGAAGCACACTGACCCTCTGGCAAGTACCCCTCCCTCTTCCACCCCGAGCAGCTCCTGAATGGAAAGGAAGACGCTGCAAACCACTATGCCCGAGGTCACTGTTCTGTGGGGTCAGGGATCACTGACCTCGTGCTGCAGAGGATCCGAAAGCTGGCGAGTGGCTCCCTTCTCCTTAGGCAGGACCACACCCAAGAGCCTGGGGGTCTGCAGGCACCTCCCCAGCAGCCCCTGTGTTTTCTGGCCTCAACGTCACACCACCCAGCCTGCACCCTGGAGCCTCCTGAGGCTGTCACAGTGGGGAGGCGTCCTGGTGTTGGCTTTGAGTGGCTTTGCTACTTACAAAGGGCAAAAGAACCCTCTTTACTTACTGTAAAGCCCCATCTTCTTTTTCTCTCATTAGACTTATGAGGAACCGTTTTATTTCCTCCCCCCCTCACAGCTTTATTGAGATATAAGTGACGTGTAACACTCTGTAAATTTAAAGTGTACAGAGTGATTTGACACGTGTATACACACACACACACACGGTGAAATGGTTACCACACTACACTTAACCACCCATCTGCTCACATGATTACCTTTCTCTCTTTTTTTATTTGTAGTGACGATATTTAAGATCTGCCCACCTAGCAACTTTCAAGTATATAATACAATGTTTTCAACTACAGTCACCATGCTGTACATCAGATACCAAGAATCCCAATTCATCTTGTCACTGAAAATTTGTGCCCTTATACCAACATCCCCCTGTCTCCCTGACCCCTGTGCCCCTGGCAACTACTTTCTCCTCTCTCTTTCTACAAGTTTGGCTTTTGATTCCACATATAAATGAAATGATACAATATTTGTCTTCCTCTGACTTATTCCATTTCACTTAGCACAAAGCCCACAAGGTCCATCCGAGTTGTTGAAAACAGCAGGATTTCCTCCTTCATATTGACAGTGCCCCATCTACTCTTCTGCTGCTCATAGTTTATCTTGTTATCCAAGACTTCCAAAGCATGTGAAAACTTGTCATTTCCAATAGTGACCACTGTTTGTAAAGTTAACTCAGGCAACACCCCACAAGATGACTCTGTTTACTAACAGTTAATTCTTCTCCAAGGACCTCTGTCTGGAGAATTCCTTGCCCAGTAAATGTTTTGGCATTTGGCATGGTCCTTAGGCAATGCCATGCCTTCACACAAGCACAGTAGGCTGGGTATAGAAGTGGTATGTATCTACTGGGAGGGAAAGTGATAGTTCATCATTTGCTAGTCATTTTCTCTTCTTTGTTATTGGTAAAGACCTTGCTTTAGATCACATACAGATAAATCCATGGAGGTCAGTGAACGACAGTTGAATGTTTATGCTTAACTTGGAGTAACACTCCAAAGTGCTTCCCCCACAACAGAACTAGGCCCTCGAATGTGTCTCCTCATGGATGTTTGTCTGGACTTGAGCACGGTAAAACCAGTCCTTTCTGAAGGTTTTTGTTTTTTGTTAGGAACTTGTATAGCCACCACCCTGGCTTCTGGTTAACTTGGCTGAGTTCTCACATCTCATCCACTTTCCCTAGGCAGAACAGTGCAGTGGGCTGCAGGGATTTTTGATTTTCCAAAGCTTTGGAGGAGGCAGCAGATCAGGATTTACATCCCTCTTACTGGAACAGCTCTTGGCAGAATATGAGAGGAAGACGAAATTGGAGTTTTCTGTCTACCCACCCCCAGGATCTCCAGTGATGTCATAGAGCCTTACAACTCTATCCTCACCACCCCCTTCACCACAGAGCACTCGGACTGCACCTTCATGGTGCACAATGAGGCGATCTATGACATTTGCCATCATAAACTTGGTGCTGGATGCCCCTCTTATGCCAGCATTAATAGGCTTTAGGTCAGGTGGTATCTTCCATCACGGCTTCCCTACGATTTGAAGGGCCCTTGAATGTGGACCTAATTGAATTCCAGACTAACCTAGTACCTTATCTGAGAATACATTTCCCCATGACAACCTCTGCTCCCATCATCTCTGCTGACAGTGCCTACCATGAGGAGTTCTCTGTGTCAGACATCACTGCTGCTTGCTTTGAGTCATCCAACCAGCTGGTCAAGTGTGATCCTCGCTTGGGGAAGTATATGGCCTGCTGCCTACTCTACAGAGGAGATGTGGTCCCTAAGGATGTGAATGCAGCAGTTGCAGCCATCAAGTCAAGGAATTCTATGCAGTTTGTAGATTGGTGCCCCACTGGTTTCAAGGTAGGCATCAACCCTCAGCCCCCCATGGTGATGCCAGGGGGAGTACTGGCCAAGG